AAATACGGCGGAAATAAGTTCCCCGAAACCCGCGGGAATAAGTCCTCGGGAAGCCGAAAGAATAAGTCCTTCGAGGCCTGAGGGAATAAGTCCCCAGGAAATGACAGAGACATTGAATGTCATAGTCAATAACGGATCAAGTGTAGGCGCTTATACACTTGATCTGATTGCGCCTCCGAAGTTGACTTCGGGGATCACTCAGTTGCCAACGCTCGAACATAAAAGGTTCTTGCGTGATCTGCGTAGTGGCAAAGTCAAGCAGATCTGCGTACTCGTCGCTGACGACAGGAAAAAATCAATAGAAAAATTTATAATTTATTTTAAATAGTATACATCTTCTTAAAAATTATGGAGAAAGTAGGATTTGAACCTACGTAGAAATTATTTCACGGAATATTTATTGCTTTTAATTTTGGTCACGACACCAAGTATACATCGTTAAAATAACCATTCCTAAACCCGTTAAGGCCAAAAAAGATCTACTATTGCGGAATTAACAAAAACTTTAGAAGAAAAAAACGGGTAAAACATAACCCATAAAAGCTGTTGCCATCATTAAAATAAAAATAATTACACCTGAACACCATAAAGCTTCTCTTGGAGTTATATACGAACCATAATATAAACCTCTAAAAATAAAAAAAAAACCGGATTTTATATTATTTCAACATCAATAGTAAACCTAATTGTACTTGTTTTGTATGTTGACCTTCATACACAGCTTCTCGAACAATATCACGACACCAAGTATACATTGTTAAAATAACCATTCCTAAACCCGTTAAAGTCAAAAAATTACTACCTAAATAACCATTATTTAAAAAAATATATATAAGTTAAAGAAAATATTTTATTTAGTAATCCAATTTTATATAATAATTTAGACACGGCCCAATTTACCTTTGTAAAGGCAGCAGTGGGGAATTTTGGACAATGAGCGAAAGCTTGATCAATTAATAATAATAAAGCTGGGGGTAATAACCAAAAACTTATATTATTCATACGTGGAAAAGCCATATTATTAGCAATATATAAACGTTTACATGGTGTTAATAAACGTTTTATATCTAATTTAACTGCTTTATTTTTTCTATATTTTAAATAAATATCTAATTGATTTTTTGAATTTATTTTATAACTTTTTATAAAACCTTATTTAAGAAAAATATTTAAAATGTTTATACTTTGTTTTGATTTTTGATGGCATTGTTTTTTATATTTTGTTTTTTTGGAAATAACATAATTTAATTTTTATTTATTTAAATAAGATAAATTTAATTTTTTATTTAATGGTTTAAAAAAACCATTAAATTTGGAGACTATGATTTTACCAATTAAACTATTTTTCTAACATGTTAAAATTAATTTAAGTATGTTTTAAGATCTCTTCCAGACAATGAAATACCATCAAGACCTAAATAGAAATTAATATTAAATTGACTAATCTAAAGGGTATAAAAATATGTATTTAATATATTTTTTTAACAAATAATTATAATTTATTTATATATAAAATATATTATAATTCTTAAAATATGATAATTTAATAACCGTTATGGCTATTAAATTATCATATATAACTGGAATCAAATATTAAAAAATTAAGGGTTAAAAAAGTTTACAAGAAACAGGTTTTATTTATATTTGGTGTAGCATCGCTACACCAAATATAAATAAAACCTACAACTATTTTAACTAAAAATTCAATCATAGTCCAAAAACCCCATGAAAGCGAAGGCAATTATCTGGGTATATACTGACACTGAGAAACGAAAGCTTGGGTAGCGAACGGGATTAGATACCCCGGTAGTCCATGCCGTCGACTGTTTAATAAAAACTTGGGACTCTGTTAAATGGTAAAATGTTTTTTGGGGGGTTAAAAAAGGGTTTTGGGGGGGCTGGGGGGGGGGGAAAACAAAAAAAGGCGGGCGCCCCGCCCTGGGGACGGGGGGGTGGACACCAGAAAAAACGAAAAAAAGTTTTTGGGGGAGAAGAAAGAGTCCTCAGTGGTTCGTGGATGGAGAGGGGGGACAAAAAAAAAAAAAAAAAAGGAGAGAGATTACCCCCCCCAGCGCGAGCGCTGGGGAAAAACCACCCCCCAAAATTATTTTTTGTTGAATTCAAGGATGTATTCCCTGAAACTGTTCCGTGCGAATTACCGAAGGATAAAGGTATTCGACACGAGGTCGAGCTTAAACCAGGCTCGAAGTACTATGTCATGAAGCAGTGGCCACTGCCTCGTGAACAAGTACTTGCGATCGACAAGTTCTTTGCCGATCGTTTAGCTGCGGGCCATGTGAGGGAATCAACTTCCCCATATATATCTCCGACCTTCTGTGTGCGAAAAGCAACAGGAGGGTGGCGGATAGTGCATGCATTTGGCAAGTTGAATGCTGCAACGGTACCGGCTCGGACGCCGATACCAAGGAAGGACGTAATCATTGATGGTGTGTCAAAGAGTACCATCTTTTCGTCCATGGATTTGATGGATGGCTTTTATCAAATCCTTATTCGAGAACGGGATATGTCCTATACCGCAGTTAGCACGCCTAGCGGCATGCTTTGGGAATGGCTAGTAATGCCACAAGGGGCTTAGTAATGCCCCTGCCACGTTCAACAGATGTGTATCACATCTGTTAAGACCAGTACGAGAATTCGCGCCGAGTTATTTCGATGACGTATTCATCCATAGTCGGCCTATGGATGGAAAGTCGGACGTTGAGGTTCACAGGTACCACGTCCGACAGGTCCTTACAATCATGCGAAAGCATCAATTGTATGCAAATCTCAAGAAGTGTGTATTTGCAGCAAGCGAAATACCACTTCTTGGGTGCATCGTTGGTAAGAATGGTGTACGTCCTGATCCCGAAAAGATCAAGGTAATCACCGACTGGCCTGCGCCGGTTGATGTCAAAGGTCTTCAAAACTTCCTTGGGCTAGCGGCGTATTTGCATAAGTATTCACGCAATTACGTCGAGATGACTGTACACCTCTCTCGTTTGTTGAAAAAGAACGAGAGGTGGTTATGGAACGCTGAATGTCAGCGCTCCTTTGATGGTATCAAGCAGAGCTTGATACAATCCCCAGTCCTAGCAATAGCCGATCGGTACAGGCCATTTCATGTGGTCTGTGATGCCAGCGATTTCGCAATCGGCTGTGCATTAATACAGTACGATCTTGAAGGCGTTGAACGCGTCGTCTGCTATCATTCGCGTCAGCTGCAACCAGCTGAGCGGAACTATCCAGTGCATGAAAAGGAGCTCCTTGCCATGAAGTATGCACTCGCGAAGTTCAGAGTCTATCTCTTAGGATATAGACCCTTCATTATTTATACAGACCATACGTCGTTACGCACGGCAGTAAACAGCCCGCACCTTTCACAACGAATGGCGCGGTGGTTGTCATTCTTTGCAGAATACAAATTTACGGTCGAGTACAAATCAGGACGACTTAATGTCGTCGCTGATGCACTCTCACGTCGTCCCGACTTTGAACCAGTCGTGAAGCCCAACAGTGAGGCAGCCACTGTTGCGGTTATGACGTCCTCAGTCCCATCTACAACGTTGTATGATGATGTGAGGCGGGCATACGCCCAAGATGGTGAGATTGTGAAGTTGTTGACACATCTCTCACAGTCATCTCAAGAATCTTTGAAACAGTTATCGTCTGCGTATCGATCTGCATCAGCTCGATACACTACTCGCAACGGTTTACTGTATTATACAGCCGTTTCTGGTGACACACCACGTGTTGTCATTCCAGATGATGCTGATCTGCGTTTGCAATCATGTTCGAGTATCACTATGCTCCTATAGGAGGACATCGTGGCCGGGAGAAAACATATCTCACGGTGAGTCGAGACTTTTACTGGCCCCGCCAGTATTAGTTTGTGCGAAAGTATGTTCGCGCATGCAAAGTCTGTCATCGGGTGAATTCAAGTCCTTCACTGCTTGCACCTTTACAGCCTCTACCGGTTCTGGCTGAGTGCTGGTAATCCATCTCAATGGATTTCGTCTTCGGGTTACCCAAAGACGCACGCGGGAATACGGGTATTCTCGTATTTGTTGACTGATTCAGCAAAACGGTACACCTTGTGGCTGTACCCGAGTCAATCACGGCAAGTGGCTGTGCTTGTGTCTTTATTGACACCATCTTCCGACTTCATGGGTTGCCCCGTGAGCTCGTATCAGACAGAGATCCACGCTTTACTGCTGATTCTTGGCGTTCCGTGTTCAAATCACTCGGAACGCGCTTGAAGATGTCGACATCTAATCATCCAGAGTCAGATTGTCAGACGGAACGTGCCAATCGTGTCCTCGAAGAGATACTTCGAGGATACGTACACTCCTTTAAGAGTTGGAGTGAGTTTTTGCCAATGGTAGAATTTGTCATTAACAACTCGGTGCATGCGTCCACGACACATACACCGTTTTACGTGAATGGCTTACGCCATCCGCGTGTACCCACCTTACTAGAGTATACCTCTGGTTTAAGGGGGGGGGCTCGCGCGAGCAAAAACCGATTTGGTTCACGCTCATCACGCTCTGACGAAGAGGTCATTGCGTTTGATGCCGACATCGATAACATCGATATTGAAGAAGATGATTCCAGTGAGAGTGCGGAAGCCCTCACTGAAGAAAAGGTTGATGTTGCTGCAGTGCGCTCACAGCGCACTGAAGCTAACGAGTCATCAGATGAGTTCATACTGGCTCGTGAAACGGTAGTCCGTTTTGTGCAAGATTCCATCGCCGAAGCGGTGGATAAGCAAAAGCAAAACGCTGACAAGAATGGAAGGGCAAACACTCTTTTATTTAATAAAGGTGACTTAGTCCTACTGTCTACGGTTAATCTACCAAAGCTTGTAGTGACTAACTTGGGTAGTAGTAAATTTCTACCCAAGTACATTGGCCCATTTCGTGTATTGCATCGCCTAGGCAACGCATACACGATCGAGTTACCACGTAAGATGCGAACGCATCCCATGTTTTACGTTGGTCGGCTTAAGCCGTACCATCAGTACGCTGCTTCTTCCGATGCAGAACGCCCTTGCGCTCAAGCATCTCGCAGAGAGCCTTGTGCTCCCGATGATGGGCATCGACAAGGGTCTGAAGAGCAACTATCTCATCCCGAGACCGATCAACAATCCCACGAGCTACCCTTAGCTCGTCACGAAGAGATGTCAGAGCTCTCTCGTTCTCAAGCTGAGCAAAGGCAAACTCAGCTCGATGCTTCGAGACAGTGTCCGCCATTTGGAGACGCCTGTCCCGCTCATGTTCGAGATCGCCGCGTAACCCTTGCGTTACGCGATCAAAGAATCTCTTGGGAACACACGGATCCCCACGATCGTGTGGAGAGCGTATTTCCTCCTCCTCCACCTCCGTTAGAGGACTCTCGCGGTGGCCAGCGCTATCTAGTTGAGCAGCTGCTGAACCACCGCGACGTGAACGGACGTCGGACGAGTTATCTCTTCCGGTGGCGCGGTTATCCCCCGTCCTGGGATACTTGGGAGCCCCGCTCCCAAATGATGGTTGACGTACTGGGTCTGGTTGAGCAGTACGACGCGGCACATCCTGTGCCGCAGAAGGACCGCCGGAGAAAGTCTTCCCGGCACGGTCATAAAGGGATTTCAGGTTGTCAATCCCTTCGTACATCTCAGTATCATAGAGATACGTACGCGCCACCACGGGCTAGTAAGGAGGTAAGCCTCCTTAGGTGCGCGCGCAGAGTTGTTTACACAACAAGGGCACGGGTCTCCCCAAGAGAGGCAGGGTAACCCACCCTTCTTAAACAGACGATGCAGCTTGTAGCGTGCACCTGTCGGGGTTCGCTTTTCAAACTTATCACGAGCTTTGATAAGTTTGTCGTTCCAAACGTCACGACCTACATCCTCAAGGTTATGGATGTAAGCGTTCCACGCTTGAAGTAGTGAGGGACCATCACGTTTGTGATTCCCACTGTACCATCGATGTCTAAAGAAAGCATCGATGAAGAATTCATGTTCAGCGCGATAGTTTTTCGCGCTGGGGTCAAGGTGATGGATCCTTGACGAATCGAACAACCGTGTTCGATAACGATCACTCGTCGTCGCCGACAAGTGATCCATGACAGATTTGGGAGGCATCCATGCCTTCTTCCCGGGAGCGAGACGCAACACATTGCGGTCCCGCTCTTCCTGCGATGTGCCGACAGAAGGACTGGCACCTCGTTGCGAAGTGGTGTCCATAGGAGAACCGACACCACTGTTAGCGCCCGAGTCTTGCGACCTCGAGCGCCTTCGCTTTGGCGATGGTTCATCTGATTCGTCAGATGAATTAAAGATGCTACGACGCAAAGCATCATCCATGCCACGCTTGGCAGGCGGCTTGGTTTCAACCGCCTTCGTTACGGATCCGTCTTCCGTATCGGGAGAGTATGAGACACTGAGCTCATACTCTGTAAATACATGAGTGTCTTCGTGACGAGCGCCTGCATCACCAAGTGACACAGGTTGAGTCGCTTCAGCAACCGATGAGACATCAGTTGCTGTGGTTTCTGCTTCGGCGTCCGCACAGAGACGTGCGGACGCGCTCTCGGCGGCCTTGCTCGCGCATCGCATGGGCTTGTTAACCATGCGATGAAATGTTGGAAAGTGGACTCGGACCAACAAGTGCAAACCCTGTCCCAAATGATTTGGGACGAGTATCCATTTAGTCAATCAGTCACTAAAGTGACTGATGGTTAAGGGGGGTGATGTAACGGGGTGAATCGTTACATAACAATTTATAAGAAATTGTTAATAGAATATAACTATAAGAGTTATATTCTCAGAATATTGTCATAAGGACAAATATTCTGTAGCACTTACGAGTAGTTCCTAATTGGTTGATATAGGCCATTATATCAACCAACGAAGACGCGACACGACAGACGCACGCAATGAGTGGTGAGCAGATAATTGATTTACACATTTGTATTTAGACATAGTTAGATGAAGATAAATAGTGATTTATTGCAGACATTAACTATACTAAATACAGTTCCACTTTTTACTTTAACCAAGTACTCGCTTCTTCTTACCGTCTTCCTCTGCACGTACGAGTGTACGTGAAGTTCCGAGGCACCGCCTTATTCTGTTATCAGAATAAGTAGCTTGTACTGTCATCAGTACAAGCTTCAGGGTGCCCCGTTACAGGAGGCATCTTCCTCAGACGAAGATACAACGCGCGTCAAAGAAGCTTTGACTGCAGTATGTCGTATTGAATGATCAGCTCTCTCGCCTTTTTCGAGTTTGTGTTCATCCATCCGAAGACTCATGCGGAATGGTCCAACACAATCTTTGGACTGGAAAGTGTATTTCCATCTCCGTGCAACTGAAGCAACTTATACGGGCTATTGACCTGCTGTTTAAGACATGCACTTCCATGCCTTCCTTTATAGTGTCCTCGTGCTTGGCATGAGCTCCGAAGATCCCGCTCTGATTCGAAATGCGATGACGGCTGCCAGCCATTCCCGATAGTATCGATCGAGTCAGTTGAGCCCCAGGGTACAGCGGAATCTGGCATTCACAAGTGGATAGTCAACCTTGCGTCTACCGAATGCTTCAAGGTGCTTAAGCGAACACACATGCTAATAGTGACCAATAATGATGATGTTCTCGAGATGAATGTTTATCATTTAAGCACCGGCTATCAAACCTCATGCAAGGCTTGTCTGGACCAGACATAACCGTAAGGACTGCAAGTGTTCGAACCCAGCAGCATCTGCAGCGTCTTTTACCAGGGTTGTGTAGCCGCTCCAACATCCCCTCCAAGATGCTTGTCACCCCACAAGTCGATGCCTAGCGGTTTATAACTCTTCAAAAGCAGCTCGCACAGGAGTTTCATCACCTCTTACGGCCCGAGAAGGTGGCTACTGCTCGTGATGAGACTCTTAAACGAGCCAAGGCGGTCGCCAAAGCATCAGTTAAGCCTGCTCAGCTACGAAATACCGGACTATAATGAACATGATGATGATGATAAGGTGAGGCATATTTAGGTACGCGAGCGACACAGTATATCCTGTCATCGGGCAGCAGCGCTGCCGCGGCAACGACTGCTTTATAAACTAGGTAGAACTAGTCCTCGAACAGCAGAGCGCCTACGCGCAGCCTCTTGTATCGAGATGATCCGGTTCATCGGCGTCAGCGTGGGGCCCAATATTTCTATATTGATGGTGTGAGAGGTCTCCAGCCAGTGGTTGACATCATTGTGGAGAAACGCTGTAGTCTTCTTGACCAAAACTTGGTCGGAGGACGCGTGCACCTGGATTGAAGCCGTTGTATCCATGGCGATATTTGCCAGTCGATCTGCCATTTTGTTGTAAGTGTGATACTGATGCCCCCCCAGCTGGAGACCTTAATGCATTAGCGAGGACACACGCTTCGCGAAAGTACCGGAGTGGCCGTAGACGCGGCAGCATCACAGGCTGACATGGACGAGACGAGCTGTACTCCACAGTCCATGTCCGTATCAATATGAGTCATCGATTTACCGTCATGATGAAGTAGCCAATCATGATTCTGGTGCACCTTTGTCGAGTACGTAGTCAAAGCGCCCGGCTCAATTGCCCGATACATCAATGTTGGAAAGTTGTACAAGAGGAAGACGCAAAAGGACTCAAAATGCCGCCATTTCGCCATCTATTGGGTAGCCATGTCACGCGTAGGTGAAAACCAACGATCCCACTCTGCAAATTCATTCAAGACAATATATCGCCAAGTTAACGCTTTCCTCTCGCGAAATGGACCCCCTTTAAGCTATATGCCTTACCGCGACTATCTCTCAGCCATGACATATCCTGGAGCGTTGCGTGCACCAACCACCGGTAGTCAAAACGCCCCGAGGATGCTACTTTCGCTCGCATCCCGGAACGCAGTTGATCATTAATTGCTCTGCGAGCATCAATTGTAATACTACCATCGTCTTTATAGTCGACCTGGACTCTCGATGTAAATGAGATAGCTCTGCGGCAAATCTCCTTAACCGCACCTAGTCGGGCATGTCTAGCCGCCTCGATATCAACAACGGCCGACCCAGTTAACCAGACAGTCGCGTGATATCTAAGGTGCTTATCATTCGCTCAGCAAGGCGTGATGTATGCCGACCCCGTATCAGTACATCCCAATAAATTGTCACCAATCAGTAAATCGAGCGAAGAAACAGTAGCAGCCCACTGACCGACCGCCGTAGCCGCCATAGTCATTAGTTCCATTCGAATACAGGTAAGGCTAATCCCCCTTGCTGGATCGGGAGAGACGCCAGATCGGAGGGAATCCATGGTCGGGACCTCTTGGCATTGCGGACGCTCCATACAAAGTCCATACTCAAGCTGTGCGACCGGGTAAACACGGCCGGAGGAGGCCAACAGTGTCGAGCTTAGAAGGTTATTGGGCACCGCAACAGCTCTGGCAATACTAGCCCGTTGTTCCACCGTGTGAGTTTTCTCCCGGGCTAATGCAAGCCGGCTCCAGAGAGATCGTATGCATTTGTTCCGATTTTTATCCATCGCATCCTGTTGACCCACTAAGACACCCGGACACCTGCACGATGCAGTTAAAGACTGTGCAGTGAGGCCACAGGTGTCGAGTGGTAGAGATGACACACGAGAGTCCAGCTCAATAACCATCGATTTTGCTCAATTTGTTCGGAGGCCCGAAACGTTGGCAAAGTCATCGAGAGTAGTTACGAAAGTTGTAACTGCCGACCGATCGCGAAGGTATACAGCGGTTTCGTCAGCGTATTCCGAGACTTTGAACTCGGTAGTACGTCGTCCAGTCGTGAGAGGTACCCCAAGAATGTCCTTCCTTTCTTAAATCACCCTGTATACACTATCAAGTGCAAGAATAAAGAGAAGTAGGGCCGGGGGACAACCTTGCCGAATACCTCAGACAGCGTTTCTGCGACTTGAGCGGTAACCATTGACCAGAAATCGGCAGGTAGTATCATGGTGTTACGCCGCCACGTCTGATACAAATTGAGGTGAAAAGAGAAGCTACGTAAGCGCCGCAAGTAGATAGGGACGTAGCAACGTGTCGTACGCCTTGGCAAAATCGAGAAGCAGGACAATGGAACCATGTGAATCACTGTCTAAAGCCGCGGCTGTGCGAGCCGCAGTAAAAATATCAAGAGCCGTATGGATTGAACGATGCGGGACAAAACCAACTTGGGCTGAAAGAACGAGACTTGTGAGCATCGGACACATTCGAAATGTTAGAATCTTGGCTAATAACTTGTTGTCGCTGTTGAGCAGCGCTGTTGGGCGATGATCAAGTGGCATGGCGGAATCCGACGTCTTTTTCAGACATTACATGTTCGCTTCACCAACCCACGCCGGGAAGACGATGCACTTTAGCTATCTGGTGTACAATGCGGCGAGTACAGGCGCGAGAACATCCGCGTGATCTCTGTAAAAAGTACTGTTAAGCTCATCCGGACCCGCGGCTTTACCGCGTTTTAGCCGCTTCTCAAGGCCGCGCTCACATCTTCTTGATCAATGTCTGATGTCACATTGGAGTCGTTAACTCGGTTCGGTGGGGATTCCCTGGCCAAAATGCGGAGGTTGCTTCGGGAAAGTCAAAATCATGAGTCATAGTACGTTCCCAACCGTCAGCCATCTCATCAGCCAGTTCCTGAGACGGGTTCGGACCATATGCGGCTTTTCCTCCCAAAGAAACGATGGTGTTGTCTGTAAATTTACTCGACAAACGGGCGTAGAAACGGCGAGATGTCTCTCAAGTAGAATATGTGTGCTGAAGAAGAAGTCTCTCCTTCTTGGTACGCTGCCAGTAACGTCGACACTCGGAAACGCTACGTCGAAGATCCACAGGAGTATCCGCCGAAGGGTCAGCGAAGCTAGATTGACCGCCGCTCTCGTAGGCACTCGCTGGTGATACATTTGGTGAACATGCCTCCAGTAGCGCCGCATCAAAGCGGGCATATAGACGACTCAGCCGCTGCCTATAAAGTTTTGTCAGACCTTGCCGGGCGGTTTTGGTTGTCGCCAAAAGAATCTGGCAGAGATTGATCTTCCACTCATCCCACCAGATGGCCAAACTGCGCGCTGTGCGATAGTCCGACGTTGGAACGGAGGTAATTTTGTCGACTTGAAGCTGTGCTAGCGCAACGGACGCACTAATTTCTTTGTTCGCGTTATCCCGCGCACATCCAGGAACGGGATAGACCCGCCTTGGTTTACGTACGCGCACCACATAACGTGGAGCCCAAATCCGTATAATGATTTCATTGTGATCAGCTGCTGGACCAGGCACCGACATATCGATGTCTCGAATCCAATCAGCATGTGAAGAGCTCACACGTCATCGGTCTAGGCGTGAACTAGCCGATTCACCGCCTGGCAACGCGTACTAATAAGTGTGAGCCGCGGCCTGAAAATCTGATTTGGCTCTGTCTTCTTCGGCTAGCTCCATTGCATCTTCAAGAACATCGCTAAGCTGTGCCCGACCGAGAAGCCTCCTGAGCCACATAGAATCATGTTTGCCCGGTGGCGAGACAAAAGTACGGTCAAGTATCTGAACCGAAGTGCAGTTGAAGTCTCCTCCTATGAACATAGGTCCTTTGT